TTTTCAGTTAATTTCTCTGAGAAACACCTATATTAACATGTACATAGGTTCGTAAATATGAATCTATATATAATGATAATGTTGGATCAAATATTAGTGATTAGATCTTATATGCATAACAAGACTAGTTTTAAATTCATTGTTTTCACATCTTCAATATGATTAGGTAGTTCATTGTATTCTTTCAAACCCTTATAAAATAATGATTTCATTGACTTAGTAAAATTGTATTTTGGTAAATGAAGTTGTCTCCTGTATTTCCTCTTGTTATGAATTTGAGATTTAAAGACAATAAAACCAGCAAAGTATTCTACACTTTCATAGACTCACATTTCTTCTACGGGAACCGTATTGGACGTTAATGTAATTTGTGAGAGGCATAATAAAACCGTAATAATAAATGTACTTATACCAATTTATTCAGATAATAAAATAGTGCCAGTTATGAAAAAGTATACAAACATGTTCTCATACAGTTTCAAGATAATGAGTCTGATTTATTACTTGTTATAAAGTTATCCTATAGAATCATAATTACAACTATTCTCTGAAGAATTATCCGCTCCCAAAAGGTGGTAAAGTCACGACAAATTGTCTTGAAAGTTACGATAATTCTTGAATAATCTCAAGAGATCAAAATGATTTTCTACGGATTCAATGCGTGTCATAAAATTCAAAGCATGTTCAAATAAGATCAATAAAAAGCCAAGTCCTTTTTACTTTTTGCAAGTGCTCCTGATTTTTCAAACGAAATTCGCCAATCAACTATACATCTGCTTCATGGACTGCTTCAACATTCCAGTAAATTATTAAGAGCGATTGTGTGATAGTTATATTTGTCAATACTGCATGGGTTTTTACTCAATACAGTATAGTCTGATTTTTACACGTTGAAATGCTCTGATAACAATTCACTGATTTATCACCGTTTGCAGGTGACTTCAATACTATTTCCAAGGCTTGATTGTCCTTCAGTCTTTTGACATCGCTGTCCCTTCTTAAACGAGTATCCGGAAGTTTTCTTATTCTTTCTACTTGATTCTCCGGAATGTCTAGCTCGGCACAACAAATTTTCAGCAAACTACCAAAAGTTAATTTCCATCTGGGAATCTCCACTTCAATGAAATCAGGATCACTTGATCCGTGTATCCGAACTTTCAGGACGAGATCTGAAAAATTGTTGGGATCATTTTGAAAAGGTACAAATGGCAAAGAATTATATGAAAACATTTATATCTTGAAAAACTGCAGATGAATTAGGTGTTTACTGAACATTTCATTCAACATTCTGATTTAAAAAGTCAAAAAATATAATCATATTAGGTTGTTTCAAAAGTTTTGTCCGTACTTATGAGTCTACTTTAAACTGTAATATACTTATTCAATATAGTCGAACTGAGCTCCATTTGAATCAGTGCACTTTTCCAGTTATAGTCTGCAGTTTTTTTATGCCTGACGTCTACTACTAGTGTGGAAGACTTTATTGAAAGTTCTCTACGAATATTTTTTACAGCTTTCTCTCTGAAAAAGGTTGAATATTTTTCTGAGACACCGTTTTTGCAATATGAATATTTGTTGTGTATGTGCAGACATTCCCCAGAACATAATACTATATCTAAATGTTACTCTGATTATAACCATTATATGCTACAATCGCAGCCTCAGTGGATATATTTTGTGTAATTATTTTCAGGGCATAACATTTGTGTTGTCACTTTATCTATGTGGCTTTTCCAGTACTGCTTTGAGTCAATTATAATTCCAAGAAAGGAAAGTTGGGTCACTGATTCTAAAGTAGTTACACCATCACTTAAAGCATTATTTGTGCCGTTGTGTGATGTAAAGTACTCCTCCAGAATCTTTAGCTTAAAAAAGATATTTGCCTGTAGGTAGTTGTGATCGGTTGAACCAAAAACCACAAAACAGTCATCGGCATACTGAACCATATATTCGTCAACAACTTCAGGCACATTGTTAGTGTAAAGAATGTATAGTAGTGGGCTCATCACTGACCCCTGGGATACACCTCTCACAATACATAGCATTTCTGATTTCATTAGATTTCCATCAGTATTCCTTTCAGTGACACATTGCTGTCTATTTTTCAAATAGGACGTAATTAGTTCAAGTGGTAGCCCTCTGGTACCATAGAATGACAGTTTTGTGATCAGTAGCCTAGGGTTGACACTGTCAAGTCCAGATTGACAACTGTTAAGCTTTTTTTACTATTGATAGATTCAATTACCTTACATAGAGCTTGATAGTTAGCCCCACTAGTCGATTTCTTTCTTCTGAATCCATTCTGCATATCACTTAGAAGATTATTATTTTCTTAGATACGTGACCAATTTATTGTATATTACTTTTTCAAAGATTTTACTAACATTTGACAGTATTGCAATGGTCTTATAGTTGATTGTTTCATGTTTATTTTCCTTTTTAAAGATAGATAGCTTTGACATGTGTAATTTTAAGATTATCAGAAATACCTATCAAAAATGATAAGTTGATTTTGTGGGCAATAAGTTCACATATCTCATATGCTACATGTTTCAGTAATTTAGTTAGTATTTCAGTTTAGGCAAATACTACAGAATTGGTTTGGGTTGTATTCCATTGGTAGTGGACTTGTCCCTATTATTTGTTGAATTAAATGAACTGATATAAGAGAAATTAAGTGCAGGTAGCTAGATTTTATTAATGGTAATTTCCTCTTTCTTGCGGTTGAAATTGTTTGTGTTTTTGAATTTTGCCTTCCAAGAGAGAGATTTTAATTCTAGAGATCTATTGAGCAAATACAAAAAAATTTTTGCCCGGTTCTTTTTCTTTTCGGTTCTTAAAGTTTAAATTCTGTGTAGTTTGTGTTCATCCCATTTGAGATGACAATCTACCCGCAAACCTTAAGAATTTTATTTAGAGTTGGACGTAGTTATACGTTTCACCAGCTTGTGCTAGTTTTTGACATTTTTTTTGTAGGGCTTACATATTTGTATCTGCTGATCATGACTGAGGTGAAAACTTGAACTAGTGCGAGCTATTAAAAGAAACACTTATTATCTTGAGGCATCCTTTCAACCTTTAGGATTGAAGTTAATAATGGTGAAAAATGAACTCGTGATATCTTGAACATATAACACATTCGTTGAAGTTTTATTTACAGTTTAACTTTAAGGAATGATACTCACCGTCAGATTGCGATGTGGGCAATGAGGTAGTGGGCATCTTTGCAAGGTCACTATGTTTTGTTCGAATTCTACTTCCTATATCAACTTGAGAGTTTATGGAAGGATTCTTCAAGTAATTCGGGGTATATCTAAGGCCAGTCTGATCTTGCTGATTCCCGATTTGTTCGGATTCTGGATAACAGACTTCACTGGGTGTCAGTCCCTTGAAGTTTCTTATGCTTTGATCAGCTCCATTTTCAATTAAAATCTTTGCTATGTCATCGTTGCCACGTTTACATGCCCAATGCAATGCAGTCCTGCAGTTTTATAATCACTACCATTAAGTACTTCAATCTTCAGTTCAAAATACTTACCATCCATTCACAGAATTCTGGGAATTGATATCTATGTTCTGTGTTAAAAGATTGATTACAGCTTCTGAATCACCTACACAAGCCGCTTCTCTCAGTTTTTCTTCTAGAATACCGGCCATTTTCATTTTAGGGCTCGTTCAATCATCTTCTTTAGTGAATGCACCGTTTGTTTACTTCTTTACCTACATTGGTAATTGGTGAATAGAATTGAATAACAAAATGTGAAATACTGAAACCACAAGTATAAGGCTAAAAGTTTAGCAGTACTGAAATTGAATTCAATTTCAGGGAAGAATTTATACAGATGATGGCGCTACTCAAACAGCTAACAGCTGATCAGAATAACTGAATGTTAAAATTAGGTTATGTTCGTTGTTTTGAGGTTTTTTGTGTTTTGACTTTTTTAATTATATATTTGTGAGAGTATTGTTTTTTAGTGCGTTCATTATAGATATAAAAAAACTGATGAATAGGTGAAATACATTATTTTACCATCGGGAAGGACAAGAAACCGCAAGAATTTATGGAAACAGGACCGGACTTTGTTTTTGTTAAACGGTTTTATTTAGCTTGCCATGTTTCCTGTTTGTTTGGGTTAAATATTAAATAGCTTGTTGAAATAATATGTTTAATCATCAGATTTACCTGACTAGTAGATAACATTGTAAAATTGATTTTTCAAGACCATAACCTTCTTATTTCAAAACTTGCTGGAATCGGTATACAGGGAGATCTCCTTAGATGGCTTCCATCCTACCTTCACAATCGTAGTCAGCTAGTGAGCGTAAATTGATACAGATCTACTCCATTTGTGGTAACCTCGGGAATCCCTCAAGGTTCACATCTGGTTTTCTGCAGAATATGCAAGGACTTCAAAAACGAGACTGCAATCATTGCATTTATTTATAGTAAACTTAATTTCGGAAGTGTCATATGGAGATCACATTATAATACACATAAATTACGATTAGAAAAGACTCCAGAACAGATTTCTAAGGTTCTTGCATTTCAAAATAACGAAGACTTATGTAACACTTGACACTAGTGAAATTCGATCTCACTACAAAATACAGCTTCTAGAACAACGAAGAATAATAACCGATTTAGTTTTTATTTATTGAATTACTTTAAAATAACTATGAAAATAATATTCAACTCATAGCAAAAATAATGAATGATTGGTTAGTATGTACGAAATTTAATAATTCATTAATTTTTAGTTTTTTCTGTATCTGTTGACACCGTGTATCTCTGTAACCACTACAATCAGTGGATGCTTCTATGGGTATTTACCTATTTGTATCCCAAATTTCGAATAAATAAATACATCAAGACGCAGGTTCCTTGCAGAGGTATCTATGGTATAAATAAGGAAAATATTGTATACCTATAGATTTAGTTTAATCTTCCACTTGAAGATTATTACTAGGTGATCGAAACACGTGTCGAGGTGTTAAAAATAACGGTTTGGTGTTGGGATGGAACTCCAGTAATACTCTCCTAATAAAGTATAACCGTTATATGTATTTTACTATTATCTGGTATATCTTTTCTTGCGTCCTACAGTTGCATTCGCCCGCTGTTTGCACATTTTGGGCGGTCAAACCACTTCAATACTAGTAATTAAGAAATACATAATAAACAGTTTTAATCAAAAAGTACCGACGAATTGGATGGATTTTCAACACTGTTCCACTCCCATGTTTACACTGGACTGAAGAAAATCATTTATTTGTATAGCTTTATTCAGAAATATATTTAAGTACATTCAAGCTCAACTGTTGAAAATGATTGACTGAAGATGAGTGCCTGAAGTCTCAATGTTCTGTCACTAACACGTAATTTCTTTCTTCGAAATTGAAATAATAATACATTCCAATTCACTTGACGAAGAAAAGAAGTATTTTTTATCAGAATAAACTCTGGAAACCGTACCCTTTGACATTTGCTGGTTTGGTACTTGGGAAAAGCCACCAATAAGCAGGTTGAAAAAATTTCAATATTGTATAACAAATGCTCAGTAGAGACGGTATTGGCCAAGGGAAAGGCAGAAATTGTAGCAGAATTATGCCGTCCATCGCAGCTCCAAAAATGTCCCTTCTGAGTATGTCTCCAGGTAGACGAGTTAATGCATTCATTTCGTCGAATACTGTCACCCTCTCTAAAAAAATATTAAAAATTACCAACTAATCAAAAACCATCTCGATGATCATTGCATTATTTCTGTATCAACTGATGAAGGCTTCTTAATCGATTGTAATAAAGATATATTATCTGATGAATACATTCATGTTGATAATCATATTCAAACATATATGTGTATGTATATTTATATTTTTTCAAGTTTCAGTTCCTAAGTAAAAATA